AATAGCAATTTCCATAAAAACCATTCGCTTCTGGCCTTCAATCTGCAACTTCAGCGCGTTTTTTCCCCGTAGAGACTGTCCTCGGTCAGGCCTCGTGGCGATCCGGCAACACAGTGCCATCGTCCGATCGATTGCACCCGATTATTGGAGGAAAATATGCGTGTGCACTTTTGTCGTGACAGACGGATTTCACAAATTGTTTTGATGCCAGACCTACGGACAGATTGGTCGTCACACTCCGGTGGGTTTCGGCCGGACAACTGTGTTGCGCTTGCGGGAAATCCGCCGGATAATGTGGGGGTAAATGATAATACAGTGAATGTAACGATTATCGTTCCTGATCAAGAGTGAAATAAGACGGTTGGATGCCCTTTATGCAAGTCAGTTTTTTGGGACGAGGAACTGTAAATCTATGTGGCGTGGAATCAATCTTCTCTGCCGGCAGAAGAAAATGATTTCCAGTCCCTTCATCGATATTGAAAAACTGAATAATGCATTTATTTATTCTTCGTCCGACAAATACCCCAGTTATGCTGATTCCTGTTCTCCAAACATCCAACCTCCGTTTGATCCCATCACCTCTGGTGAGATGTTTAAACACGTGTTCTCTCAAGGTGTCCACCGCACCTGGTCCAGACGACTCAAGTCCCACCCATCTTAAACACGGTGCTCTGCCACTGTCTCAGATTTTTGCGCGCACAGCTAATCTTTCACTCGAACTCTGAACTATTCCAGACTGCTGGCGCCCATCCCAAAAGGAAAGTCTAAGGTCCCAATAGCGAAACGTTTCAGACCAATTGCTCTTACCTTCTCTGGTTTGAAGTTGATGGAGCGATCAGTTCTGCACCGTCTTCAGTTATCCATTAGTACACCTGATGATACTTAGATGTCGTTTCTTCTCTAGTTCATTTCATCTGTAAATCCCTTAACGAGAAAGCCAAATAGGTGTATTGTGCGTTTCTAGACTATTCTTCCGCTTTCAACTCTGTGCCTCGTTCTCATTTACTAAACAAGCTCCAATCTTTTGACTGTCAGGCTTCTCTTCTTGAATGGCTGGCTGATTACTGTTCACAAAGATATCAGTATGTTAAGTTGGGATGAAGACAGTCAATAGCTCGGGTGTGCTTCAAGGTGCTGTCCTATCACCTTATCTTTTTTCGACTTATATTAGTGACTTACTTGTTACTCTCCCTGTTCGACGTTTTAAGTATGCTGATGATATCGCCATTTCTGCTTCCGTATCTGACCAAACAGAACTGGTTGAATATGCCACAAACCTATCCCATCTCGTTTCATTTTCCACTTCTTTCGGTCTCAATCTGAATCCTGAAAGGTGTCTTGAATGAATTCTTACTCTAAACCGTACACCATCTCCTTCCGACAATGTCCGAATTCATGGAAAGCCGATGAGCAGGGTCAGACATGTGAAGTAATTAGGTGTCACACTTGAAGGTAACCTTTGCTGGTCCTTACGTACCAAAAGTGTTGCTCGCAAGTTGAAAAGTCTCTCTTCCCAGATAAGAAGACTGTGCCACTTCTGTTCTGTCTCATCGGTGATAAACGCTTTCTTTCAACAATATGTCCTCCCTATACCCCTTTACTGCTCATCTGTAATTTTTCCTGCTTTATTGAAGGCTGATTTCAAGTTGCTGAGGAGTGACCTCTCAATGATCAGCCGTGTCTCCCAAGTTCCAGTATCTGTTCTGATTGGCAATATGTGTAATGCCCATATTGATGCATGCTTAAAGTTTGCTGACAATATCCTATCTGACTGCACCCATCCTCTACACATTGACTTGTGTGCATGCAAATCCCACCCCTGCACCCATTCGAAGTACAAACTTATCCCGTCTGGCATATCCGCATACAGAAACTCTTTGGTACCCTATCTTGCCCGGATACTGACCGATAAGGAAAGTGTTCGTTCTGAGCTTTCTTATGCATTTGATAATTAACTCATACCTTTGTACGTTTTCACATCCCAATTTTCCCCTGTTTTTACCAGAATTGTAACAGTGGTCTGTTTTTTGGCTGAAAGCTTGTATATATAACTCGCTAAAGCTTGAATACAATACAATACAATAATACAGTTACAACTATCTTAATTACCGGACTTCCTGTCGGATGTCACTGATCGAAACCAGATTAAATAACCAAACCTAACAATGGCTCTCTTATATCTGATAATATACAAGTATGATTTATATGTTTCATGAGAGTAACGGAGGATTTGATTCAAAGGTGGAATTCGTCGTGTATCGAGTAACTTAAACGTGAACTGAAAAGCTAGGAAGCACACGGGACAGTTGAACGGCCATATCGTGTAAATGAAAAACGAAAAACGGTTTGATCAGCTGCCCAATGGCCAGATGGATAGCACGCTAGCGTTCTGCATGTGAAGTCCTGGGTTCGATCCTTAGTTAGGTCGATGGATTCGGTCACTGTGCTGATGAGACCCAACCCGGTCGAAACAGATGTCCAGTTGTGCTTCCTAGCTTTTCAGTTCACCGTTCATTCGCTCCATACAAGAGGAATACTCTCCGTGAAATTTGTATGCTTGTTTAGTTCCATTCACAGAACCGGTACAAGCTCCTAATCACGAAGTCACCTTCTCACTGAACACGGGCTAAAAATTAAAATAAATATTGTGAGCAAGAGTAGCTTGTGTTTAAACACGGGCCCAGTACGTGAATCATGACTTCCGTCTATCTGTTTGGGGACCTACTAGACAACAGGACAGCTTCTGTACAAAGATTTTTTTAACGAAATTGATAGTAGCGAAGTAAGAACGGTATTTGCACTGGTCATTATGCAGTGTGTTTNTGTGTTTGGATAATGTGGACTGAGGAAGTGAAATTGTCAGTGCTTCACTGACGACACATTAGCAACATCGGGTCACAACAGGGAGAATTCAGACTAGCTGGAGTTCGACCCAGAAGACGCGGCGACGGAGTATGTGAGAATATGTAGTGATCCCATCCTGCGAGATAACGCATACCATGGAGCGGTGCGTTACAGTTTAATGACAATTGTGATCAATCAAACTTCACGGGTGACGTCAGCAAAGCGCGTGCGTGTCACAGTTTCTGGACTACACACCATAGGTCGCTCGTACCAGCCAATGTGCACCTGTGTGACCCAGACAGAAGCTGAACAATGGCAGAAATACTAGAACGCGACTGGCAGACGCCCGGATGACCGATGAGCCTGTTTTGTACATATTACGTAATCCCCTTATTTCTTTCAATAAATGAACTACTACTCTTGTGGCCTTTTTTTCTCGAGTCTCAGTGACGTGCAAGAGCCAGTGTGGTCCAGTGCTTACGTGATTCAGTTCGTGACTGCTATCCCAGGATTCGTGTTTCGTTTCATTGCGTACTAATAACATCAATACTACAACTGCTACATAATATTAGTCCATTGCGAGCCGGTGGAGAGCCGATACGATACGACTCACTTTAGGCTTGGATTACACACATCCCCTCCCTCCCCTCCTCAGGATGTCCAGCTTAGCCGGTGCCCACCGCGAACTTTGCGTGTTACAACCAGTTTGTATACTTCTTCTCTTAAAGACTGAGAATCAACTTCCCTCAAAATAAGCCATGTACTCATAGACCGGGCTGTCAGATTTCGGACTATCTGTTTAGTGAAAACTCCCTCACCAAGAGTAGTCGGCGAGGAGAACGTCCCCAGCATGTGCTGAGAGAAACAATGCCCAAGAGCATTTCTGCCTTCATCTCGAGGTGAATGATGCCATTTGAAAGCAATCAACCGGGAGAAAACAGAGCCGAATGTGGGAAAACCGACTAAAAAACACTTCAAGGCTGACGTGTTAGTCTCAAGCCGGATGTGCCACAAAAGTCATCTGCCAATCCTGTCTACAACCGATTCCAGTGATAGAATGTTTCCGGCTTATAAGCCAGGTTAGAATCGGAAGCGTTTGAGCTGTCACGTGACCGAAGTTGAAGAAGGTTTTATCAACAACAATAATAACGAAGTATTGGCATACTGGATATGGATAGGAATGAAAATTCGAATGTTTGTTTGGGTTGCACACTATGGGAACCGAAGAAAAGACAACAAGATGATTATGAGACTATGTGTTCTTAAAATAACGGAGGGCTTGAAGGGGTTCTGATTGGGTGAAGCAACGTACTCGAAGTTATTCGGTAAACAATATAGGAACCGTATGCTTCCAGAACGAGCCCGTTGTGTTCTTAAGCGATTAAAGGCTATTGGGTTGCACTGTCGGACATCAGTTACGTCACTTTAAGGAGTTTTGGGATCATCTTCTGATAACATCAACTCCACTTCCTCACCGGTAAAGATCAAGTATGACAATGTAATAAATTTGAGTGAATAAATAAAAGTGCAGTAGAATGAGAATCAGCCAGTGACGGGAAACGTTGATTAAAAAAAATTCACGTGCATCATTTTGATCTTTCTCTCCGTTCGTCTGTTATCTCAAAAAGGAAACAATGGTTACGTTAACTTTAAAGGGCTTTTGATCCCTTCGAGATTAACAGTGTTGTGAGGTACTACTAGCACACCTGTGAGTAGTTTGCACGCAACAAGAAGCGGCCATTGGATTTTACTTTTTGAACTACACAAAATGCAGATCTACTGTCAGACTGTCCCAAAAATTATCCTGGGTGCTTGTAAGCATTCTGAAGACTTGTTCTAAATGAGACATTTTTTGTATGTATGCCAATTTACGGATACTATTTGAAGTAAATAACTCCCTCTGTTTCGGTACTGTCATGTAGATCTTTAACTATTTGTATCCTCTTTAGGACCAGGATGGAGGTTCCATGGCCTACAGCCTTCAAATATGAGGACGTGCGAACTTCGCGGAGCTGGTGGTGATGCGGTCTGACCGGGGTAAGTTTACGGTTCTCCGATCGTTTCTCAACTGAATTGCACCGCGCTTTACTGCTCCTTTGATAGCCTTGTTTGGGAAGACGGGTGTGTTTTGTGTAAACCGTTTATCGAGAGAACGTTTACTGGATCATTCTGGGCAATTCCTCTTCCAGTGGCCCAGCTTGTGGCATTGAAAGCTCACATTCCTGTTCCTTCTTACTCTGCATTTTAACCTCGGTGCCGCCACTTCTTCTGTCAGTTTTTTCGGGGCTGCCGTAACATCCTCTAGCGGCTGTCTTTTTGGGACTTTGTGAGTCTAGAAAGGCGCAAATTCATGATTGGTTAAATGCCCCACGACTTCAGTTAACATGAATATATCCTTGGCTCGTCCCGCTTTGAAAATTCGCACCCTTTACCCGTAGATCGTCCAGGGGACTCTTCGCAAAACTCTCCGACGATAATTCCGGCTGAGCGGCCTCGTTCAAAGTTGGCAGCGCTTGATAAAACGGGGTGTGCCGGACCACGGTTTGCGACAGGAGATCTATGCCAACTTCGAGCTGCACCGTTCTGAAGCTCTGGAACGCCTCCTAATCATCGGCCGGGGTGTTGTAACCCGCAAACATAACGTCATTTTCGGTGGCCCACTTACCCGGGTTTCTTTCCGCCGCATCCGACACCGCCCGCGTCCGGTCCTTGAGGAATAATCGGAGGGCCGTCAACTTACCCCTGTCCGTCCGTATCTCCTTGACGTCCTCAAACTCCTCCAGGAATGTCCACACATCTCCATCTTCGAAGACTTCCGGACATGGAACCTTCATCGTGCTAGATACTACTATTCATCTGCTTTTGATTCCGTGTCGCGGTCATCCCTTTTTTTTAAGCTTGAATCTTTTGGCACCCTGAGACCGCTGTTTTCATGGCTTCCTGATTATTTCACCGAAAGAACCCAGAGCACAAAGCTGGCCAGGAATATCTCAAATCTCCTAATCAATAATTCTGGTGTGCTTCAACATGCTGTCCGCTCTCCGTATCTTCTCTCTGCTTTCGTCAATGATCTTTCAGTTCCATTCCCTGCTCATATCCAAAAGTATGCTGCCGATGTCGTCCTATGTCAGATCATTTCTTCTTCTAAAGAGTTTTCTTCCTTCACTGAAAATCTGTCCTGAATCGAATAATTTTCAAACCAGTCTGGCCTTAATCCTAACACATCCAAGTGCTTGGAGTGCATTTTTAGTTGATCCCGCTCTACATTCCCATCAGACTCTGTAACCCCAGTAACCAGTAAAATATCTGGATGTTACGATCAATAATGATCTTCTGTGGCCGACACACATTCAGAACTGTATGGGAAAACCTCGGCGCCTCTTCTTTCAGCTCCGGAAGCTCAGACAATTTCGCACTCCCCAACAAGTTTTGTTCTCCTTTGCTAAACAATTCGTTCTTCCTATTTTACGCCACTGCTCCCCTGTAATGTTTCCCGGTTTATTGAAATAAGACGTTACAACTGTCCGTCGTGGATTAATGATAATAAGCTGTGCATCTTCAATTTTTGCCGAGTCATTAATCACAGAATGTATGAATGGTCATATGAAGTCTCATGTGCCCTTTGCCAATAGGATTCTAAACGACCCCACCCATCCTTTGCATTTTGATTTATATTCTTGTGTCACCCATTCGATCACTTGTTCATCTTATGGGTATCTACCCTCTCGAATAAACATTTATAAAATCTCCCATGTACCGTATCTGGCTCGAATCTTGATCAATAAGGAACGAGATATAAATGAATTACGTCAATCTTTAATTGAATGAATCAAACATCGGAGACAAGTTTTACACAGCACTCTATTGTATCTATCTATATTTCGATATTTTCTCCGGCGTGACAACGAGTGTACGATTTTCAACTAAAATGTAGGCATATCTCAGCTTGCAAAAGTTATACAAACATAAATAAAAAGATATCCATTTATTCTCTCAATTTGAACACATTTATGCCTATTGTTTTGAGATATTACTTACATTTGTGAGTGGCTCGCAAAAAGAGGCAATTAGCGGTTTCTTTAAACGGTCAAAAATGAACAAGACCTGTTGGAGCGAACTGCTGCTGTTCAGTATGATAAATACAAGAATGCGCATCAACCAGCCTATAGAAATTCTAAAAACTTATTCCAAATGTGATATTTTGTTGCATGAATACCAATTTTCCGATACCCAGACCGTTATTCATAATAGACAACTATCCTCGTCTAGGCATCGCCTTGTGGGATTATAACACTACTATTACTGCTACTACTATACACATTCTCCAGACTACTCTCTTTACATAAACTTTATGTAAAACTCGGTTCTAAAGGAATTTTCGCCTGCCACTTAACATTCACGCATACTGCATTCGTCCAAGGTATG